ACGTCAGCAGACAAAAGGCTTGACATAGCTGAGGTGCTGACAGACGGCATCCTTTAATCAGGACTGAGACGGGCGCCCATGCGTACGATCCGTCTGTCGCTTCCCGCTGAGCAATCCTTGATCCTGCGCAGTTCCTGTTACTCATTTCCAGTCTTGTCGTGGCTTGTCTGCATCGGAGCTTCTCAGTCATATTGCCCAATGCACATCTGCCAATCTAAATACAGAATGACTAGGTTCACGACAACGCACAGCTGTATCAGTAGGAATCCAAATTATTTCATTGCCTGTGTCTGCCTGGGTGTTTAGAGGGTCACGATTTAGAGAAGCCATACTTTTAGGCCACAGTTCATCCATATTGGCCAAAATGTCACTACGAGCACAACATGACATAGACTGAATGCATCCACTGTGTCTGGAACAGGCGACAATTCTAGCAATAAGTCTGAGGTCAGGCGGAGACATCACTCCGTTATACAAAACACAAGGTCTGGGTTATTTTTCACAGGGAGAGCCTGTCATTACACGTATGAGATTTTAGTTCCATCTTTCCTAAGTATCCAAGCTTCTGCGTTCTTGTTGCCGAACTGTTCCCAGGGAGCAGTTGGCATTGGGGTTGAATAATATGTCATATGACCAGAAGGTTGCAGGTGTGAATCTCAGAAGGGGATCTATTCTGTTTTCACTCAACTGTCCTGCTGCAGAAAACTGTAAAAGAGTCCCTTGGTTATTGTTTGTGTTCTCAGCCTATATGGCCTGTGTTGGATGTCACCTTCTCTACAGGACGCCTCCCTTCCTCATGGCCCCCGCTGTCAGACATCAGACGTCGCTGGAGATGAACTGGGCTGCCGCTGCAGGGACCGGCTGGGTCGCCACGGGTTACCTGGAAATAAACACGTCAAAACCGATTCTGCTGCCAAAAGACAAAAAGAACTCTTACAGGAAGCGAAATGCCTGAGAGACGCACTGCGCTCACCACCCGCCTGTCACTTTCGATTCTGCAGCTGCACGCGACGGCCAGGTTAGCTGGGCCCCGGTGGGCGCCGAGACGGTTAGCGGGTCAGCTGAGGGGGGGGGGGGGGGGGGTTGGGGGGGGGGGGGGGGGGGGGGGGGGGGGGGGGCACTTAGGGGCGGGGGCGGCTGCGAAAGCCACACGGAGTTCCACAGAACTGCCAGCCGCTACCTAGAGGCCTGCCCACACTGGCAGCCCACTGCCTGCTGGCTGAAAAGGGCCCAAAAGAGCTTAAAAGGGATTAAAAGGGCCAAAAGAGGCTGAGAAACTTCTAAGGATCCATGGTGAATGCAGCCATACAGATCCACTCTGTGCTTACAGAAATAAGATCTTTTCTTCGTTCAATGGACTATGCTTTCTTATGTAATAGAGTCATACCTTTAACTTTTCCTCTTACAGTAATCATACACAGTCACACTCATAAACAGTGGATTTTTTTACTGCTCAGCAGTGCATGCTAGCATTCAGGGGCAGGTTTGTTGCTTCTGGAAGCTCACTCCAGAAGTCACTTCAGGGTCTCCCCTTGCCCCCCCACCTCCCTTAGTTTAGTAACTGTTTGTGGCCAACAGGGGGGGCTTCAAATGTCGGGGCCCCACGCAAACATGTGGTTTGACTGGTGGTAAACACCAGCACGGCTAGTGTTCACCAGTTACTGTGAAGCTATCCACGCCGCACCCTTGCTCTTACAGAAACTGCGATCCCCTGTGTCACACGCCTCCATTCCCGCCCCTGCTGCATTAGCAGGAAGGGAAATAAGGCTGGGCGCTCATTAGTGAGCAGAGATTGCCAGATGAAGATCAACCACAGGTGATGGGGTTGGGCCCAAGTTAAAAGGAACTCAGAGTTCGTTCAAGAAAAACTGCACAAGTCCAGGCCACACCCTCGGTAATTAGCGCGTCTCCTGGACCCGAGGGCGGAGTGCGAGGCTTCTGCCCTCAGGGCACGTCACTCCTCAGCTTTGGCAGATGCTCCAAGCCGCTGGCTGAAAATCTACCAGTGAGGATCTACTGTTTGTGCAGCTAATCTACTGCAGTCTAATGTATAAAGACGGGGGCAGGAATTCTTCCTAAAGCGAGTTAATCCCCCCACCGCAAATGGATGTGTTATTGGCACCCAAGATGGTGGATAGTAATGGAGCCAACGACTGCCTTTTTACTGTCTGTAATTAAGCTGTTATTTATGGAGCCCTGCCTCTCTGAAGCAGAATGAAGCGACTGAAAGTCAGAGTCAGGCTGCTGGGCCCGTCGTTTAGGTTTCGCTTTCTGTGGTTTTTGTTTTTGACGTTTTTTGACGTTACCCACCCGGTGGAAGAGAACAAGCACGGGGCCTGTGTGGCCAGTGGAGAGAGCAGAAGATGGACCCGAAGCAAATAAGAGCCATTAGGCAGATCAGTGGAAAGGGATGCGGTGAAGCTCGCCTGAACGGCCTCATGTCAGCGGCAGGGTCGTAGGTCAAAGGTCACCGAACGTGTGAGCCGGCATCATAGTCCTTGACGGAGAGGTTAAAGCCCATGGTGTAAACATGGCTATGGAGAAACGTGTCGACATAGAGACCTTCCTGGTACCTCCACCCGTTTGGTGGACTGATACTCGGTTAGGCTTGGTAACAGTCCCTATTTGCTATGAGCATGGACCTCCTGTTAGTCTTTGATCCCAATTTAAGCGGTTTTCTTGGAGGCTGTTTGGACATACTGCTGTCTTCCGCAATCCTGCTTCTTCCCGGCCCGGAAGAGGCTGTGATGCAGATCGGCACTGTAAACGGACAGATATGCGTCAGCGGGGTTCTGTCAGCACTGGGGTCACACCAATAGCGAAACCAAGCCGACCGGCTCCACTTCTTCAGCCGCGCCGTCGCTCGGCCAACAGAACGCAACACCTCAGACTTCCACTTTAGAGGAAACCGAAGACCCATTTCATGTCAGCGATAACAATCGACTTACCTCCAACTTTCCTGCCGCCCGCGTTCATTTACACCTACCCTCTCTCCTGTTTGGCCTTTGATTCACAGCTCAGGGAGTTGTGAATCAAACCTTCAAAGGGAGTTGCGTCTTTACGTACAGAGATGCGACACCATCAGGAGAGGAAGCGCAAGGCTTTCCCAACGGCACAGATGTGCGCCCTTCCGTCATTACTGATCCACCGAGAACGACATTATGGAAGGCACATTCTTGCATAACCTTTGCTGAAATGGACACAATGTAGTTCTCGAGCCATATGCCCCCCCCCCCCCCCCCCCACACATTTCTCAGAGAGATTTCCTCCCCTACTTCAAACAGGAAACGTGTGATTTGCATTTACGTCACCGGGCAGCCCTGCCTCGGGCGGTCGCCGTTTGCCTTGTCGCTGTTGACATTCTTCTTAAATGCCTCGCTTACTCAAATGACCTGCTCCTGACGTACAGCAGAGAGAGGGCCAGACGTGATGCTATCCAAATAACTCGGTATCAACCTCGGCTGCCACTTTCCCAGGGGCTGTATATACTTCTGAAGAAGTTGGGGGGGGGGGGGGTGAGCGGTAAATTGTTTTAGCTTGTCACCACAGCAACTGTCCCCACTTCCTGTCAAAGAAGGACTTCCTGTGTTTCATTCAGGTTTTTTAGTTTCTTTTTTATGTCCGTGCACTTTGTTCCTGTCACTTGTGTATCTATACATGATGACTATCAGCTGTGTCTTCATATAGAATCAGAAAACAAAAAAGGTGTTTAATGCAGGCCTCGAGACCTTAATGCAGGCCTCGAGACCTTAATGCAGGCCTTGTTATCTCAGCCTTTTTCTGGCACCCTGCCCCTCCCTTCCTCCTTATCAACTTATCTCCAGGGTACGATATCCCACCCTTTGCATTCTGCTTATAAAAACGCCTGCAAAGGCTGGAGCCATACGCCCACAACCCCTTTCTACTTTTGGTCGTTTGCATGCGGCAGACACAACAAGCACTGGAGAACAGTCTGATGCTCAGAGTCACACGACTCACAGAAGAGATCATTAGGACGACGTCCACCCGAGGACGGCAATAATAATATTAACCTTCTTTTCTGACACATTTATCCAGAGCATGGAACAAGTAGCATCTGTATCGCAACGCTAAGCCCTTAACCACTACCTGTTTCACTACAGAATCAGACTAGAACATTCAGTATCTATGATGCCTATCTGTTATATTCTGTTGAGATAAGAGCACTTTCATTAACAGATTGTTCATTAGACCCAAACAACTATAGACATAGCGGTTGTAGATTTGAGTCCATAACCGATTCAAATAGGTTAAAAATTGGACAACTGGTGCCGTTTCTCAGACCGAATGCCACGGTTCCTTAATCAGAACCCGCTCTGTAGTGGCTGCAGTCACACGACAGGCCGTGGGAGCGTCCTGGCGACTTCAGCTTCTGCTTAAAGACGTGGCTGCTGGCGCGTCTAGTTCTTTCCAACGCGGAACGAACACCATGAACCGCTGCTTAAAACAAAGACCCACCACTGCAGATTCACACTCTCCATAACGATCTTTCCCGAGACAGGCACCACCGTATACACGACGATCGCTGCGACGGCCACCTGTGCAGGAGAGATCACATGACCAACGTTCCTGGAAGCCCACTGCATACGGTCACCGGATGCAGGGCAGAGAGAGCTTTTACCGCGCAAACTCCCGCACACAGACATGCTTTGCATACACACGCAGGCCACAATCGCAACCATGCTAACATGGGGCCGTTCTGTTCGACCCTGCAAACAGACTGGTTTAAGTTTCAGCCAGGAATCTGAACCAGACAAGTCATGTAAGTATTGGTAAACACTGGGTCTACTGGAAATAAAAACACTTAAAGTGAAACTGACTAAGAAACTGAACCATTGTATTTCGATTTTTTTTGTTTTCGGTGTTAAACATGAACTGAAAGACTGCACAGGCAAATCATTTAGGTCAGAACAGTGAAAATTCGTTGGAACACGATTAATCTCTCACATGCAGAAATACAAAAAAAGACAGACAGTTAAAAGTACCGTTTTCAAGCTTGTTTTTCAATTTATTACCTAAATAAGAAAAAGTTCTATTACAAGTCACACTGAAATGTATTGCTTAAGAAAAAAAAAGTTTTTTTTGGAAAATGACTTCCATTTTTCCACAAAAAAAAAAAAAGACACTTTATCCATAACTAAGTTGTACCCTCCCACTTTTAAATGCACTAAGATACCTAAATTCACAGTTACCATTTTGGTTTCATAAATTAATACAGTCACACGTGCTACACTGGCCTATCACTAGAACATAGCAAATCATCATGTCTCAATTCATCTGGCTGGCTACAAATATGAAGGCGCAATTACATGAGGTGATTGAAACATAAATCCATAAACCCCTGTAAAATCATCATTTTATAAACTCTGGGTCTCTTCGTCTGTCGAATACGTCAGGCACGTACAGCGAGAACATTTTGACATCCGCAAAATGTCAAGTGTAAAAGCATCGGAGTCATAGGAGCCCAAAATTACTGCCGATACATTGATTCCGGGAGACAGTAAATGCTGTTAGACAGTTAACAGACGGCTCTGTAACTACAGCCACAGTACTGCAGACGGGTGGAGCGTGATTCCTTACTGTTAATGGGGACAGGATGGCAACACAGGAAAACGAAAGAGGAGGAAGGACATGAAACAAACTAAACAGAAATCATTCTCACATACCAGACCAAGGGATTGGCATTATTGTATAGAACAAGGCTTCTTATGTCATTACAACCACCAGCTCCAAGTAATTTGTCCATATTTGGGTTTGTACAAGTGATAAACAGCAGTACCAGAAAGGACTGAATTCCACTCAGTCAAGGGCAAAGTTTAACGGTGCAGAGAACTTGGGATGCTTAACCCCAGAACTGCCAAAATGCTGCAAAAAATGAAAATCCAAAATCCACCTCCCATCAAGGATAAGGGCACTTAAATGAGGTCATCTTCCAGCACTGAATTAAAAGGAATTAAAAAAAAAAAACACAAGATTTAGGGGGACAAAAATGTAGAATGATACAAATGTCCGTGTGCCTTGAGATTTGCAGCGGCCTGTAGGTCGCTTATGTCGCAGGGATCTGCAGACCCAGTCAATCACGCTTCGGCATCAGGGGGAAAAAAATCCAAAAATATTCCAGAGAATTGCGTGTATACACTCCAGTTTACACTGGGTGTTTTTCTCCACAACACCACGAGTTAGCAGCAAATGACCTTCAGATGTCCAATCTGATATGTAAGCAATACTCAGCTTTGAGGCACTGATTGATAAAAATGAGCCAAGCTTATTTCAGCCCAAATCCTTACACGTTTAACCAATTTAGAGCGAGGGACACTGGAAAACGATGTTTTTTTAGAATAGCTCGAAACTGATTGGTGGGTTAGGGTGAAGGCTCCTCACTCCAGAAGGGCGCAGAGAGGAATCGCAGCCAGACTGTGTTCAAGCATCTGGTCGGACCAGCTGATGAACAAAACTCTTCGCGGCGAATAAAAAGATTCTCGTGGCCGAGATGGTTTGCAAATACTGTCACCGTTTTCCCAGCATAAAACGGACATTCCTACACGTCAAACAGACCCACCTCTATACTACGGCCATGCCTACAAGAATTACCCAGAGCGTACCCAAATACAGCCCAAGGTTTCGGCTTGCTAAGCAGCCAATCACAGCCACTGGCCACACCCAGAAATCCGCCTACAAGAATTCAAACAAATCCTCTCACACACACATAGAAATGGATTAAAGGCAACAAGACGATACATTGATAGGTAAATATATATATATATATTTTTCTCTCTCTTCCGCACTGTAAATGGTACCTATTCTTACACACATCTGAGGTTTTTAAAATCAAGAATGACTAAATGACCGTATATGACAAACCGTGAATATTTACTGAATTACCGGCTTGAACCAATCAAGCTGTACTGGTTTTACTGTTTTTATTCAAACAGCACATAAAAAAGAAAAAAAAAAACAAAAATAGATTCTCATTTTAAATTTAACATTCTATAGCCTTCTAAAGCAGTTGTATTTCTTATCTTCGCTGTGTGTTTTCTCTGAGCATCATCTGAATAAGACAGGCTGTTTTTGACAGTCTCCTTGCGATAACAGAGAACTTTCGATAATTTAATCTTTCATGTTTCCACTCGCATCACTGCAAGAAGTCCAACTGTCCAAAAAAAATAAAAAAAATCATAAAAATGTGCAAAAACCGTTTGAAAACCTGAATGCTTTGTGAATAATGCTACATATCTGTTGGAATATGAAAGTGGGAGGGAGAAAAAAAAAATGTATTAATCAAATACTCGATTCTGATTGGCGGATACGAGGAGTCCATCACGAGAGACCGGAGCATGTCATAGTGTCCCTTCCTTCCTGTATCAGGACACACGTCCCTTAATGCAGAAACTGTCCAGAACATGGATAGTCCCACTGCAGTCAGACGCGGGCATTCATCCAGCATGCACCTCAGGAAATTAAAAAATATAACTAATTAGCAACACTGAAATCAGCTGTATTCTATTTCTTAAAGGCAGTACAGTCCTGTAATCACTGCTGTTTTCATGCTTAATTCTGTAGTCCTATGATGTCCAAATTCCAGCTTCTTGTGTTCGAGACAAGAACGGCACACCAGTGAGGCGACGCTGGGAGGCATCCAGCCCCCCAGGAAAGTGGTCTATAGGCTCCATCCCCACGACTTGACCGTGTGACCTCCTCTGAATTTCCCCCCTCCCCCGTTATGCCACCATGAATTCCGAGCTCAGGTCTGTCTTCACGTCCGGCTTCCAAACGGCGTCGTCGAAGTCCAGGCCCAAGGAGGCCTCGCTGGATGCGCTGCTGCTGCTGCTGTTGCTGCGGCCCGCCTTGCGGCCGCCCGCGGGCAGTGCCCACGCGTACGGCGAGCGCGAGTCCCGCCGAGCCTTCCGGCGGAGACGCCGCTGCTGCATCAGCAGCTGCAGGCGCTCCACCTTGCAGCGCATGGTCCGGTTCTCCGTCTGCCTCAAGCGGTCACCTGTAGGGGGCGCACAGGAGGGGCGGGGCAGGTCAGTGGGATGCTACGGGGCTAAAAATTCAAGCACTTCAAAAAGGTCCTTCTTTCTAAATCTGAACAGACACAAAATTTCTTGCATTAATTGTTATGACTCATAGCAAAGGGCAGCGATTTCACATGGTTTCTCCACGCAGCACTTTGCACCCCGAAAACTGCTAAAAGCCTCCTAATTAACAGCTTGGTGATTAAAACCTGAAGCAGGGACTCAAGTGGCAGAGCCAAAAATAACGATTTCAGTCAGACAGCTGTGAGGTGAGAAGTGACAGTCAGCAGCCGTCCCCATAAACACCTCCCCTCAGCTCAAATCATGTTTCAGAAGTAAAATTCTACAGCATGGCTGAGGAAACTGGTTTAAAGCAAAGGAAACACTAGCCCCCCCCCTCCCAAAAAATACTGTATATGTAAAATCAACCGGCGTGAGGGACAAGCCACATTCCTTGAGAATGATCAGCAGACATGTCACCCCCACACGACCACGTGTGTCTCCAGACCCACTGTAGCAGGAGCTGGGGGGGTGGTGAAGGGGGGGGGGGGGGGGGGGGGGGGGGGGGGGGGGGGAGACCCTGTTCACAAGGTGAACAAGGTCACGAGGTTGAAGGAAGAGGGGATCTTGGGGTGGACAGACTACATTCGGGCCTCGCCGGCCTGCCCCCCACCCCCGACGCTAAAGCCTGAAATCCTTTCAGCAGGCTGGGGAAAATCCTGCAGCCATGTGATATCCAGCCATGCTAGCATCACCACACGAAATACATTTTTAGGCAGTGACAAGTCAACAAGCCGCAAGCCCCTTCTTCCGAAGGCCTCGGGGTGGGGGGGGGCACTCACCCTGATTTATTTCCCAGTTCCTCATTCCCGGCATTCCTATATACCAGTGCAGTAACCCTGGGCAGAGAATTTGCTTTGTGCGAATGAGTCTCCACATAAGCAGGAAGTGCTGTTCACCTTCCATTTTTGGCTTTGTTTACAGGTTTGTTTTTTCCCCCCCTTTCCTGCCCCATCTGCCCTGAAAGTAGGGAAACTCTCCAGATGTTACTGGATGCCATCAGCAGCTCCTGCAGCCTCTCTGCCCCGACTGTGCTGATGCTCAGCTCCCTTCCGGACCGTCCGACTAACGGGAATCGACCATCAATTTAAGAGGCACGTTGGCCGGCCGTCTGTCTCCTGAAGAGGACACTGGCTCATCATAGGAAACGTCTGCCTCATAATGGCTTCTGCTCTGACCTCACACACACACACACACACACACACACACACACACACAGGGGCAATTCCAGGGTTCTTTAAGGTGGGGTGCATTAGAGGGGAAATAATTCACACAGTCTTGTCATTAGCCAATGATATGATTTGAATGGGTGAGTGACAGGAGTGGAAGCACTCTGGGAGCTAATCAGCTTTCAGCCCCGCCCCTGCATACTCCCTTGCACACAGAGACGGTGCAGTGGAAGGGGGGCAGTGAGGAATTTCACCCCCAGGCAGTGGGGAGGTGACCTCCTCTGCAGATGGCGGTTTACCACGTTGAGTGGACTGGTTCACCTTGGGAGCTGGCGTGATAACACACGGGACGTGACTCACCGCTCATAAATCACCCATGCGTGCCAGAGACGGGGCACTCTAACTCCTCAGCTGAAAGCGTCCGGAACTTTCCGTCTGGCCCGCGTGCCCGCGTTGTCGAGTCGCGGAGCGGGCGTGACTTGTGATTAATGAGGAGAGAATTTTTCCTGGGGTTGGGGGGATGGGGGGGGATGAGAGGACTGAGCAGGGCGGGGGGGGGGGGGGCAGCTAATCCAGCTCTTAGTCACTCACAGCGCTCAGCTTTTGTGGCTAAAAAAAGTGGAAGCAGAAAAAAATCCAGTTCCCTCTGTGGCTTGATTTGCCCCCCAGTACCCGCCTCACCCCCCCTGCCCTCACCCTGCTGACGGGCTGCCAGTCACTGGACAGAAACCGCAGTGTTTTATGAATGGGGACTCGGCATGATGTCACATGCTGCACTGCTGCCACTGGAGACGCAGCAGTGTGCAGGCCTCCCACTGTAGTCCAACTGCAGCCAGATGTTGCCTAGGCGACCGGGGCAATGCAGTTTAGACCCTCCGAACATGCTTTCCCAGGTGCATTGTGGGTAAAAAAAAAAAAAGCCAGAGGACAGAGGCGCTGGTGATCAGGGGGGAATGCGCACACACGTGGGCACAGGTTGGGTACGGTCACTCACCGGTAGGGTTGCACACGCGGATCCGACTTTGGCACTTGACCAGCGGGTACAGAGGGGCCGTGCCGGCGGGGGGCAGTGAGGTAGCGAGGCCCACTGGTGCGGCCAGAGTGGGGGAGGCTGGCAGAGCGGTCGGTGACGGGGGAGGGGACGAGCCAGCCTGGCAGCGCAGATGGGCCAGCGAGGGGGGCGTGCCCTGGTACTGTCGAGTGGCGCTCAGGAGGTCATTGAGGATCTGCAGGACGGTGCTGATGTCGCGACGGGGGTGCCCGCTGCTGTCCTGGCAGCTTGGATGCAGCGTGCCTGAAGGGGGAGGGGCAGGGGGGGCGGAGTCAGTGCATGAGTAGACAGCCAGCAGGAAGTGACTCTTACCAAACCGCTTAGGACCTCAGAATGAGATGAGCAATAGCACATCATTCAGACTGATGGCCCACGTTTGGCCACATGCATCTGCTAATGAAGCAGAGCCGACGGCAGGAAGCGAGACGCACCTGAGAAGGTCCCCGAGAAAACCCCGGGGGCGTGGCTGACGAAGCTCTCGATGACGGCCCCGGGCTTGCGGAGGCGAGGGGGGGCCGCGGCACTTTGGGGGGGGCATCTGGAGCCGGTAGCGGCCTGGGGGACAGAGACACAGAATCAGCGACGGCTCTGCGTTCACCTGAAGGCACAGCGGGTGATGGACGTAGCGGGAGAGCAGAATAAAGACCCAGAAAGACCTGCGTCGTAACCCTCACCGTAAACAACCCACCCGGAGCGAAAGACGCGTAAAACACTTTGCGTACAAAGTCAGGGAAAAGCAGCGGTGATTACCTCTGGGCAGGCCATGGCAGGGGGGGCTCTCTGGGAAACAGGGTGCGGGTGCGAGTGAAGGGGACTTCCTGGGAGCAGACAGCCATTCTGGGTGGGGCCGAAGGGGGCAGTGGGGGATGCGGGGTTTGAAACGGCCGAGGGGGGGGCTGCAGAATGGGAACGGTGTGGGATCTTGAAAGTGCCAGCGCTAGTCCCGGGGCCCCCTGTGGCCCCGGCGCCGCCCCGGGGATGCAGCTGCGGCGGATGCGTCGCCTGCGGAGGATGCGTCGCCTGCGGAGGATGCGTCGCCTGCGGAGGATGCGTCGCCTGCGTCGCGCTCTGCTGGCCCCCAGACTGCTGCGCAGCCAGCTGCAGCTGGACGAACATCATGTGGTCGCCCACACGCAGCGCCAATGTCAGCGGCGACCGGCCCGACAGGAAGTCGCTGACCTGCAGACAGGAAGGGGAGGGTCTTGGTTAAAGCCGGCCCACTTCTGATCATTGCAGGTGCCGAGTCTTGCGGGAACATTAATGCTCATTTCAAAACCGAACACATCCCGAAGGCTTCCCAGTCAGCACAGAACAATTCCAGTCAACTGGAAGGGATCTTCCAGTGTCAGCTGTGTTGTGGACTGTCCCCTGTTCAGAGGCAGCAGAGATGTGAGAGTGAAACTATCCCATGAAGAGAGAGAGAGAACTAGAGAGAAAGAGAGAAAAAGAGCAAAAGAGAGGCAGTGGATCCAAACCACACGGCATCGATGGTGCAGCTGTGGGATCCGTCGTGGCCCCCACTTTCTCACACCTCCCCCCATCCCAGGCTGCAGGTGCCACTTAAAGAGCAGCGGCGGACACGTCCCATGGAGAAACTCCGCGCACAAAGGTCACGCCCCCACCCCAAGCATCCTCCCCGCGGAGAGCTCACCCCCCCCCCCCCCCCCCCCAGCCCCCGGGGGGGGGGGGGGGGGGG